TAATAACAAAAATAATAACATGTAACCCTGACTTTCCCAAAGTGGCACATGAAAGTTGCCAAAGTTCCATAAAGGTGCCAAAGTGCCACAATGGTACAAGAGTGCCATGCAAGGTTAACAAAGTGCCACGTGAAGTTAGAAAAGTGCCATAAGGTACGTTAGAATAGTGCCACTAGTTACAAAAGTGTCACTTGAGGGGTGCAAAAGTGCCACTTAACATTGCGAAAGTGCCACATCAACGTTACAAAAGTGCCGTCTCGTCTAGCTCTCTCTCTCTCTCTCTCTCTCTCTCTCTATATATATATATATATATATATATATAGAGATACACACATATATATATAATATAGTTAAGTGTACTATAAGGATGTAACGAAGAGGCCAGCTCTTGACTGTTCTGGACGAGTTTAATGCACGACATTTTAGCCATTCAGCTTTCTTCAGGTTAAAAATTAAAAACTAAAAAGCTATTTACAATGATTGTGACTTATATACAAAACAGAAATTTTAAGATTGAGGTTACATAATACAACAAAGGTCTAAATTACAAACTGAGAAGGGTCAAACAATGAAAGGCAAATAAAGAACTATGGGTGGCATGTGAATACAAATAAAGCGAATACTGTCAACCATGTTTATGCATGAACTTCCATTTCACTCGGCATCACTGAACACTTCATTGGCAGAAAATTTAAATCTGTCTGCTGTTTCTGAAGTATCGGAAGAAGTGGCGAATGGATGAGAAGACTTTTCATTTTTAACTCGTGAATTGTGCGCATGTGCAAGAGCGAGTTGTAGATACGATGTGGGGAATAGCACTTGCTTGCTTGATTGGTCGATTCCTGTAAACTTTTTTTAGATTTTAGGCTTTGGGGTGCATGTGATACTTTTTGGCGAGCAATAAACAAACGAAATGGCGACCTTTGTTGCTAAGAATAGTGGTGGGGTGAAAAAGAAGCAGATGATAATCTTAAAAGAGTTTTTTTTTTCGTTTTAGTTTCAACAAGCGGTGCCAGCAACTGGCAGGCATGCAAGGATTCATACTGAAATAACATAACAACCTTCGTTTTTCATAAAATTGTAGTTTACAATCCTTGAACTTGAAAGCAATCTGAAGATTCATTGAAAAGATCACTTACTGCGAAGCGCTCGCAGTTTACCGATGTTCAAAAGTTTTTTCTGTTACAGCGTGAGATTCAGGACAAAATCGATCATTACGTTTCGTATCGTGTGTTTTTCCTGTGTGAAGCAACAAAAGATGCCGGCGACTGATGAAATTACAAGTTAACACGAAAATCAGATAACACCTAAACAAACAATTTTAGCTACCGATATTCAGTAAATTTTTAAAGAACAATTTTCTTTTAAGTTTCAAGACAATTTGAAGATTCAAAATACATATTACCATTACAACTCCATAGCGGATTAAATGTAACTTTCTGAAATGGGTGACACCGCTGGATTTTTTACCTCGAAGGCTCGGTTTATTCCTTTGGGCATTGCTTTCGGTGGCTGCCGAAAACGTGTCGGTTTTATTCGTTTCGAAAAAGGCGAGATATTTTGGAAGAAGACCAAAGGAACTGCGGAAGGTACTTCAAAAGACTTGGACAATAGTGTAATTAAGCTACCTTGCGCGAACAGACTTGTGATCTTGTATCCTTTTGTTTACATTGTCTTGAGATGAATGAACTCGAGATCGATAAACTGCAATCATTTGAATGGATTTAGTTTCTATTCACGGTGTATTTTTAGCCTTAATATGTATTTAGGATTAAAGAGCGTCGCAAAAGATTTAAAAATGGATCTTGGACGAGTTGTTGTAATCACTGCGAAGAGCAAAAGCGAAAATAGTTTATCATTTCGAGCGCCGATCGTTTAGTTTTGATCCGAATGATTGCACTTGAATTAAACTACTTCTTTATTATGTAAATATTGCGTGTCATAAATAGTGCTCGTGTTCGCGCGCTGGCGGTTCATTCTTTCACAACTTTCGTCTTGTTCGAATGAACTTGTTGTGATCTGACCGTGTTGTTTATTGTCGCGATGGAGTTTAGTGTTGGCGATTCTGTCGAAGCTGTCGATCAGTTAGGAATTTGGACAAAAGCGAAAGTTGTCAGCAAATCGGACAACGCAGATTCCCGGGAGAGTTTATTTCATCTGTTAACAAAAGAAAAATATCTCACCTACATCAAAGAGGTTGCGCTCTTCACGATCTTCGGAAGCATGCCGGCATGTCGGCAAACTCATCGGAATGAATAAGTAATGAGAAAGAACAATAGCCTGAATATATGAATACTTAACAACCTCAATTTTTGAGGTTCACATTTAATCCGCTATGGAGTTGTAATGACATACTAAAGTGCGAAAGTTATACACCACAAAATTGATAAATAGGCCTGAAATGAAATACTATCTTGTTATTGATTATATGTTGTCTAGCACGTGACTAAAATCTACCCAGGCAGAGATCCAAAATGACGGTGGCAGTCTTGGCTTAGTTATATCACTCAAAACTCGTTCCCATTTGTCTCATTTGATAAAGAGGGAATCGTTTATGTTTTCATTAAGACAGTATTGCCTTGATTTTCTAATATTTACAATGATAGACAGTAAATTTCACTTTTCACCCACATTTACTTCCAACCTTTTCTTTTGAACCAGAAACAAAAATAATGTACGTTTAAAACACATCCACCCTTGTCAAATGTAGTAACATGATCATTTCAATTGTAATGCCTTGTTATCCCAACGTTACTTTGTTTCTTTGCTACATTAGCAAACACTGAACTACTGCTCGTACCCTAGATATGACAATCAACCACAAAATTTCCTAAACCAGATAACATTAAACATAATCCAAAAAATCATGTGTCAATTCACGAGTTTGCTCACAGAGCACTTTGATTGAGGAAGGAGTATTGCAAGGAATGCATCATTGCTTCTAACAATATAAACAGTCTGCAAAGCAAGAGGTTAAGGAATGGCTTGATCAGCGAGTGTTAGATATATTAACAATTCAAGAGACCAAGACTGATCAAGCATATCCCAATTCCCAGTTGCAGGTTTAGCACTGTAAGTTGTACAGAAAAGACAGGATGAAAGGGGGGGAGGCATAGTTGTTTATGTTCATGATAACATTGCGCAGTCAGGGAGAAAAAATCTGGAGAGTCACTTAAGTATACCTTGCTGGATGTTTACATGAAAAATAGGTGTACTGCTATTTGGTGTGCATGTAAACCACCATCAGTTGACAATGCTACATTTTCTAAGGAACTGTCTACCGTGTTAAATGAAGCCAGCAAAGTGAGCCAGCAAATCACCATTTTGAAAAGAGTGAACAAGTTCCTTCTGCAGTCTGGATCTTTAATTTTCAAGATGGTGGCCATATTACAAATCCCGCAGGTTTTTCCTTGTGTATCTTGCCATGGAAGTGCAAAAGTAGTCCAATGCCCCCATCCCAAGCCAAAAATTGGTGACGAAAGTCAGCAAATCCCTTGCTATTCCCCCATATATCTCCGGGGTCAACCCTCCAGGATGGCCGCTGATAAGTGCATAAGTTTATAGACCTTATTCGTGATTTAATCTAGTTTTTATAAGTTTAACAGTTCTATAATCTTCTGCAGTTCCATAATACTACATCATTTTAAACACTTATATAGCTTCTAGGGTTATTTATTTATCTTTTCTTTTGTGACTGACCTTTAAACTAGTTTTGTATTGCAAAGTGTCAGCCACGTTAAGAAAAGTATGTATGTATGTATGTAAGTATGTAAGTTTTGTAATCAGTTGAAGTTCTTTCTCACTGACATCATGGGCACTGAGCTTGACTGGGAGTATATCTTGGCTGACCAGTTAGTTGTTGCAGTCAAGATCGAAGAGTAGCTGATTAATCAAACATATTAGAGCTGTCTCAGTTAAGTGGGATTTTCTGAAACCAGATTGATGCTTGTGCAGTGTATTGTTGTTCTTGAGGTGACTATGTGGAGATTCACAAATATGTTTTCAAATACCTGAGATAGGATAGGGAGCAAAGAAATTGGTCTGTAATTATCTATGTCCTCCTTACTTCCTTGCTTTCTGCACTGGCTGTGATCTTTGACAGCTTTGCACTGATGCCATCATCTCCTGTGGCTTTGTGTGGTGGAATTGAGTTCCTTTGTGATAATTTGAAGCAGCTATGTATTTACCAATGTTTTGAGCAAACAACAAATCTATAGGTTGTTTAGCAAAGAAGTTGTTCAATTCATTGCTAATGCTTTCTTTGTCTGCCAAGTAGCCTCCCTTACACTTTATATGTTCAATGCTATCTGGACTTGGGTCTGATTCCTGTGTTGACCCTTTGATTAAATCCCATAGTTTATTAGAAATGTGCTTGTTTTTGGACATTTTCTTGTTAAAATAAGACTTCTTGCTTTCCCTGACTAGCTTTGATACATTGTTCCTTGATTGTTTATAATTCAACCAATCACTTTCTGACTGGCTATGCTTTGCTTTGATCAGCAGTTTCTCCCTTTTTAAAATTTCTTGGCATATTTCACTTGTGAACCATTTAGGTTGAACCTTTCTTTTCACTTTTTTACATTTTATAGGCCAGTGTTCATATACCATATCCACAAATATTTTGTACCAAGCATTGATGACATTGTTTTGGTCCTCAAAAACAAAAGCTGTGTCCTAGGGGGTTTCTTTTAATGCAGCATTAACCTTTCCTTTTTCAAGTTTTTTAAAGTCTCTATAGGTCATCAAAATATGCTTGTTTGGTTTCTTATTGTTTTTGTTATGGTCACAATTGTATGTTCTGGTCCCAAACATAGGCAGACGGTCTGACAGTCCCGCTGTCATTGTGTGTACATTCATGCATTCTGGGTGACACAAGCCTTGTAATTTATGAGCTGGACTATATGCAAAACACGGTGCTTTCATCAGAGAATATATTTTTAATTTTGCTGAGTTTAAAAAACATTTATTGAGGTCACCTATCAAAACTGTTTCTCTGTTCCCTAGTGGTAAATTTTTATGTTCTTGGCTAATTTCTTATCATCCTTGACTTTATTAGAAGGTGGCCCAAAAATACCTCCAACAAAGAAGGAATTATTTGATTTATGGGGGCATACCTTCAGCCATAATGGTTCAATATCAGAGACTTTAAAGTCAGACCTTCTTTTTACAATGATCAAGTTGGTTGCAAAAGCCAGAACTCCACTGCCTTTTTTTAAATTTGCCAAACCTGTCTTTTCGAAATAGTGCATAACCAGGGATAATGTAAAACGAGTCTGGTATTTTTTTGGAATAAAACATTTCAGTAAGAAATAGAATATTGAGATCTTTGAGTTCCTTAAGAAACATGGAGATTATCCTTCAAACTTACTGTCAGTTAGATGCTGAATGTTCCAGTGACATACGTTTAACCATGACTTGCAGGAGTGGAGCCATGGTTTATTTGAACATCACCAGACAATTAAAGATCAAGTTGTGATATATGCAAAGGCTTGTTGAGGAAGAAGCAAAAGCCACATTTATAACACAAGGGGTAGCTTGCCTTTTGGAGCACTGCGTCTTTCATTGACACGTCTTCAAGCCATCTGTCTTCCAGCCCGCAAGAGTTAGGCATAATCTCCTTACCATGCATAGCTTAGCGGCTCTCTTGGCATTTCTGAATGCCCTGATGACCAGTTGCTATTTTGCCCAGGATATCGAGTCTCAAGGCTGAAGTGATGATAACTCTGTCTGCCTTCATAAGGATGCCTTGCTGGAGAGTTATTTCTCCTCTGTACTGTCAGTATGGTAGGAAGGAAAACTTGAGGCAGTGCTTGTCCAGCCATCCTCCTGTCCAGAATTCCTAGAGGGTGCATATTTCATCTTCATTGTAGTGAAGCTGTACCTCTTATTGATTGTGTCACGTCAGGCAATCAATTACTTGCCATACGTACAGTTTTAACTCATCAAGTTGTTTTTCATCTTTTGTAGGACTTAAATAGACTGGGGCTCTTAATAAGGTGTCCGCAGTAGAGAGGTCCTATTCATGAATGTGAACTTTATCTGGTAGGGATATTAAATCATTTGAAGTTGGAGAGTTTGGCAAGTAATTGTTGGCTTCCAAAGGCTATGAAGTTTGTTCTTTCAGAATTTAAAAGTAAAAATTTAAACACCAGTGGTGTTCATTAATGTTGGACAATCATGTATCTTGGAAGAAAATTGAAGTTACTGTTGAACAGTTTCTTGGAACAGAGGGTAAGTCGTGTATGTAAATAATAAAGAGAAGTGGCCTGAAAGGATTCCTTGAGGAATGCCACTAGCCATGCACAGAAAATTCATGAGGGTCAAGTTAATACATACAACTTAGTATCTGTTGATCAGGTTGTTTCTGAACCACAAGAGAGCGTATTTAGAGATGCCAAAATCTTGTAATTTTAAAGGGAGAAGATCATTATTTATACTATCAAAGGCTTTATTCATGTCTTACAAAACCAAAGCTGAGAGTTCCTGTTTATCCATGTCAGTCAAAATGACATCTGTGGAGCTGATAAGTGCTGTTTCTGTAGGTTTCTTATTTCCACTTTATTTCCCAGAGAGACAGTTGTTTCTTGTTAAGTATTTTCCCCTCCCCTTGACAGTACTGGTAATAATAAGATCAGCCTGTTATCACAGGGTTATTCATAGTCTCCCTCATTTGGAAAAGGAATTGCATGTGCTTGTTTCCATTCGCCAGGGAAATTGCTGCTTGCAGGAGAGGGGTGAATGATGTGAGTAATCACTGACAAAATAGCTGACAGTCCGCCTTGATTACACATGCAGAAATTATGTCAATGTCTGATGCTTTGTTTGAAAGTAACTATGCGATGATCTGTTCAACTTGCTTACATTTACCAGAACCGAATGAAAATTGTTCAGATAATGGATAGTGTGTGGGGACAAAATTGTTTCTGTAAGATCAGAATTACATTCTGAGGGGAGTGCTTTAATTTTACCAACAGTGGCTCAACCAACTGAAGTGAAATATTCATTAAAGGAGTTTCCAATAGATTTCTCATCCTGATTATACACTGAATGACTTTGTTGATTTTTTTATGGATCCTATGGATTTCCAAAAGTTGCCTGAAAAATTATGTTGGCAATCTGATCCCGGACAAACTCTCTTTCAGCTAATCTGATTTTGCATTTAATCTCTCGCCTTTGATTCCTGAAACCTGAAAGGATTGTCAGATCTCTGTGCCAGTTTCTTCCATTTGCCTCTTGTTCTTTTTAACTTGAAACTTCTTTTACTTAATGGTTAGGACAGCTTCAGATTTTAACCTTTTTCATAGATGTAGATATATATATATACATATATATACATATATATATATATATATATATATATATATATATATATATATATATATATATATATATTATGAGAGGAAAAAGACGCAACTACATTTCCCGACAAGCCTGTTTCGTGAATCGCTTCACTCTTCAGGGGTTTAATGAAAGAATGTTCATTTTTTTCCTCTCATAATATTTATTCTGCTCTGCTTCAACGTATTGAGCACTGTTTTACGCGAAAATCGACTTGCAGACTTCCTATATATATATATATATATATATATATAGATATAGATAGATAGATAGATAGATAGATAGATAGATAGATAGATAGACATACATATATAATATATATACATATTGAGATAGGAAAAAACAAAGAGACTACACTCTCATCCTGACAAGCTTGTTTCGTGATTAACTCACTCTTCAGGAGATTTTAGTGAAAGAATATTTGTAACTATTGTTAATATGTGACCCTCTATGGGAAAACAGACGCTAACGCTTTTCTGTTAAATGGTCTAGAAAAATGGTTTTAAATGAATACTAAATGGCTAACTCAAGCATTTGAAATAGTTTCCATAACTGCTTAAATGGATGGCAAAAAATTTAAACGGTTGACCAAAGTCCAAAGATGTATAGCTTAGGCCTTCAAACAGTTGACCAAAAATAAAAATGATTTGCACGAAACATTAAACAGTTTACAAAGTCCAAAAACGGACAGCTCAAATTGTTAAATGGTAAACCAAAAATAAAAACGGTTTGCTTGAAACGTGAAACTATTGATCAAAGTCCAAAAGCAGTCAGCTTAAACTGAGAAATGGTTGACCAAAATCAACAAACAAGATCTTTTCCAGAAAAACTTCCCAAGCAACAACAAATAATTTTCTTGAAGCAAAAACATCAAGCATAAAAATTTGAAAAATGATAACGGGAGTGGTAGGTGCTGGTGGGGTTGAAGGCACTGGGTCAAACACTTCCATGGGATCATTGCTATAGGGTATGAAAGCCTTGAGGTCGATAGTTGGCAGGTTATCAGTCTGAGGAAGTGGATCAAAATTTACTCCTGGATTACTGAAAAGGCAAGTAGGAATATTCACCTGTTAGTTTCAGATCAATGACATTAAACAGGTTCAAATTCCAGTTCTGGTGATGCAAGCAAAGATGTTCTGGATCCTAGCTTGATTTTTCTAACAGGTCCATTTTGAATCTTGGAATTTTGAAGTGATAAGGGAAATTGGAAGAACATCAAAATAACCCCCACATGTAATTTGCAATTAGTTATATTGACATCTTTGAAGCAGAAAATGAGGTTGTGGTATTTTTGTGATGTTTCTTCGTATGTTTTTTAAAATTCAGATTAACATTGATCATTGTGCTTACCTTGCAGACACTTTCTTGTACTTTGTTATGCGCAGCTTCCGCAGCATTGTCATGCTGGGTATTGTTGAGTTGTTCCTTAATTGTTGCACATTCAGCCTCCTTGGCAGCTAACTGCTGCTTTACGGCCTCCAAATCTTTTTCTGTGGTCATGATACTTTTCACCTTCTTGTTGGCTCGATTACTTGCCCACACAGCCTCCCTCTTTTTCTACTCAGTCATAAATGAACCATATGCATCAGCACAAGTCACTGGTCTTTCCCAGGAATGAAAGCATCAAACACGAAGAAATTCCAAATGTAAGCCCCCACCCCCCCTGAAAAGAAAAAATGACAGGCATTTCTGACGACTTCAGATTCATTCAATTGACTTGGACAACAATCAACCTTGGAAGGAGTAATTTCAACTATGTCTTGTATGCCTCAATTTTTTATTACGTACCTTGTTTAAGTTTATGTAACAGTTCAGATTATGTGTAACATTTGAGGTTTGCGAATCAGCAGCCATTAGAAGTCTGCAAACTGACCATTGATGAAATGACTATAGCTCCTTACACAGCTCAAATCAATCCTATGCATGAAACATAATTCACTTTGATTCAGCCCAAGTTCTCTATTACTTAATGGACAATTAAATGGTGTTGTGAACAAGTGGAATTTTTTTTACCAAAATCATCACTACCTTATTATCTTGTAAGTACAGATGAATGGTAATGACCTTCCTTGTCTTTCAACTGAGTGATCTGGTTCTAGCCCCTCTCAATCTCACTGTGCGATAACCTAATTTTCTGAGCTAAATAAATTGTCTATGAGAAACAACTCAAAACTATGACTCCAGAACCAAGACTGTAAACAAGATCAGTCACACTGTTCTGATCAAACAAGATCAATGGAAGGATCATGGTCAAATAAATGGCTTCATTGGCTCTCGATGCTACACCTTTGTACAAACGGATATTTTAACTTATTTGTCCTAGGATGCAATGATTACTTGCTTTCTATTATCACGGAAAAGATAGGACCAAAATCAGATAAAGTCATTCTGCATTTCAAGAACTGGCGAGTATCAAGCAAATGTAAGAATGATACTTCAAACTGCTCCCAACAGAGTGATAAACAAATAGTTTAAAGTTTTCCCGAGAACATTAAATGGATAAGTTCTTTTTTTCAAACAGATAAGCAAACCATTTAAAAATTTTTGCAGGTAAGACAAGGAATCTGTGTCTGATATTGGTGATGACATTTTTTGCTGAATGGAGAGTTGTACCAGAGTATGTTGTCCCGTTTTCTGTGTTTATGTTTGTTAGTAATAGATGGTTTGTAGTACTGGTATCCACATTCATCAAGTGCTTTTTGGTATGGACAGGTGGCTCAATCAAGATTCTTTGTGGGAAGAAAGGTATGAGAGTCATTTGTTGATGCTGGTGGATATGTTATCAGTGGTGATTGATGGATGGTTGCTGTCATGGTAGATGTACTGTAGCATGATGTTAGCCTTGATGAAGGGCTGGTAGGTGCTTTTGTTCAGGTTAAAAGTGATGCCTAGGAATTTGATGGTCTAATTGTTGGCTTTGATGGTGATCCATAGCCCACTTTGATGAAAGATTCTGTGTATGTCCTCTTTGATGTTCTTTGTGTCTCTCGATGTGGCATTGGAAATGGCTTGTCCATTGTTGATGTCAAGGTTTTGCAATTAGGAAAGAAGGAAACTTCCTTCTAACTTGGATGTTTCAGTGCTGTTGTAGCTGCCCATTGTAATGTCAAATGTTGTGTTGGCCCTTCTTTTGCCAAGATTGCTATTGATATTAATATGTGTATACACATATATATATATATTTACTAAAACCAATGAAAAGCAAAAGTCTTCTTTAAACTTTTACTTTGCTTTTGCATTATGCGTTTCACTGCTGTTGCAGCTCTTCAGGCAAAGCAAAGTGTGTT